TCTAGAATCCTGTATAATTTATCATCTCCCAGTACATTTTAGATCTAATTTTCACATATCAGAGACAACATCCACTGTTTGTCTCTCTGAACTTGTCTTACCTCACTTAGTATGATTTGGAACTAGAGTTCCACCCATTTCTTTGCAAATGACATTATTTTATTCTTTCTAATGGCTGTGTAGAATTCCATTGTGTAGAGGTACCACAGTTTTTATATCCACTCATCTATTGTGGGGCATCTGGGCTGTTTCCATATCTTGGCTATTGTGAATAGTGCAGCAATGACCATGGATGTGCAGGTGTCTTCATCATACCCTAGTTCATGATGTTCAGGATAGATGCCTAAGAGTGGTATGGCTGGGTTGTAGGGAAGGTCTATGTTTATTTTTTTGAGAAACTTCCAATTGCTGTCCAGAGTGGTTGTACTAATTTACAGTCTCACCAACAGTGCAGTAGGATTTCTTTTTCCTCACATCCTGTGAACATTTATTGTTGTTGGAATTCATTATATTGCAGTCTTACTGGGGTGAGATGGAATCTCAGAGTTCTTTTGACTTACAATTTCCTTATGACCAGGAACCACATTAATTTTCATTGTGTACCTTTGTAAGTTAAATATATAATGTATTGAGGTGCCAGAGGCTTACACTTCTAATCCTGGCTACAAAAGAAGCTATATTTGAGGGCTGAGGTTTGAATCCAGCCTTTGTAGGAAAGTCTTTGAGACTCATCTGAAATAAACTTACCCAAAACTGGAAGCAGTGCTGTGGATCAAATTGTAGAGCACCATCCTGGGGGGAAATAGCTCATATAGGCATTCAAGCCCCAATACTGGCACACAAAAATTTGATATGATGGTTTGTTGTTTGAATAGCAGTAAGTATGTTTTTAAACCAGACTCGCTCCCTGTTTTATATTATTTGAAGTATCTTCAGTATTTTCAACTGAGTAATTGAATCTGTTATCCAACAAGTAGAAACCACTGTCTAATAGAGAAATACAGTATGCTTAGATGTAATAAACTATTTTTTATATCTGCACAATGTATCTGGAATTAAGCAAAGAAATGTTAAGCTCTGAAATCTCAGATTTTGTATTATCCAAGTATGGAGTGAAACTGTCCAATTTAAAATCAGAGAGACGTCATGCTTTTTAAAGATAATAATTCTTCTTGCTCTTAATTTAAGAATCTGAAAGAGCATTTCAAGTGAAGTTATTTAGGAAGATGACAGCACACTAAATTTTAGCTTGGGTAAATATAGTGATGCATTAAAATTAAACACCGGGCTTGAGTGGATTCTGCGATTCACTTCAAAGTTTCTTCCTTTTGATTCTTAAAACATTTATGGCTGTAATTCATATTTATTGTATTATAATTAGGTAAAAAGGAGAGATATATAGGACCACACATTTATCTGATGATCTATAGACAATTTCTGTTAACATACCTGTTTTTTGAAAAGTGGGATCATATTGTGCATACCACTCAATACTTTTTTCTTCTTGTGTTAATAATTTTCAGTTATTTCATGTTTTCCCCCAAGATATTCCATGACTCACTCCCTCATTGGATTTAAGTATTTTCCCAGATGCCACATTAGTGAGGCATTGCTCAACCCTTTCTTTAAAACTGCAACATCCTACTAGCACCCTAACAATTCCATCTCCTTTCTATATTTCTTCATAATACTTATTGCCATTTGATATTCAGTATCTGTCTGTCTATCCTATGTATGTATGTATGTATGTATGTATCTATCTATCTATCTATATATCTATCTAATCTACTACCTACATACCATCCTTCTCCTCTAGTGTAAATTCCATGAGTACAGCGCTTAGATTTTTTTTTTTTATTCAGCTGTTTGGTTGTTGTTTGCTCCCTTCTCCTGGGATTTGCAACCTTGCTTAACACATAGAGGACCCTCCAAGTATAAATTGAAGACAGATAGAGATGTTGAGCATCATCATCTAATGCTGACATTATTTTTCAGTGTGCAATTGACTTCAGTTGATTTTTGAACTAATAGCATTTTGATGAGCATTCTGATTTTTTTCCTATTGTTCTTCATTATGATGAACAGGCTGTATCATGGTTTGATATATACTCCACTATTTTTTTCTTTTTGTAGGATGATTTGTCAAAAGTGATACCACTGAATCAAAGGGTGTGTGTGTTTATACGTTTGTGCTTGTGTTTGTGCACATGCGTGCTCACGTGTGTGTGTGTGTATGTGTGTGTGTGTGTGTATGTGTGTGTTGATGTACTAGTACTGGAACTTGAACTCAGGCCTAGCTTCTGATACTTAACGGTTTTGCTCAAGGCTGGTACTCTAAATACTTGAGTCACAGTTCCATTTCTGGGATTTGGTGCTTCATTGGATATAAGGACTGCATGGATTTTCCTGCATGAGCTGGCTTTTGACTTCAGTCCTCAAATTTCAGTCTCCTGAATAGCTATGATTACAGATGTGAGCCACCAGTGTCCCAGCTTCAATATTTATAGTTTTGAGGATTTGATGCCTCTATGTACTTTAACTTCTTTTATGAGGAGGATACTTTAGTACTGTTTTCCCTGTACCATCACCAATACTGTGTCTTTTCACTGGTTAACAAATTATTATTTTAGCTTATGTAGAATAACTATATAAATTCCTGTAGCAAAATATAATATGATGGCTTATAAAAGGTTTATATGCGTGTAAGATCAGAGCAAGATATCTGACATTTATCATATTAATCATTTTTCTTTGCTTTATCACCACTATCTTTAATCTTAGTCTTTATTTTCAAATAACACTTTGTGTTAGGAACTTAAATAATATCAGAATTGGCAACTTGTGTTTAGTTAGCTAAAAACAAAATGCAATAAATTTAATTTTTGTAGTATGTATTATGCATGCATATAAATACACAGACAGTCCTACACACAAAGTGTCAGAATCTGTAGATGTCTGGCATGATGACTAAAGAATTGAATTCAAGGTCATTTAGAGGGCAGGGTGCATCATTTAAGGGGAGTGAGTTGTTGCTATTTTGGTAACAGTGATGAAAGGCACCCAGGAATGGCCAGGCCTTCTCCTGATAATGAGCTCTTTTCCCAGAGAGCTCTCTTAGGATCTCAAAAAGCAAAGTGGGAATCCAGGCACTGATTATTAATAGATTCTTGAGTGCTTGATTTTCCTCTGAGACAGAGGCCTGTGGTTTCACGGAAATGGTACACAAACATTGGGTTTAGGAATAGGAAGACATCGTATCCGCTCCTCACTTTACCTTATTTTGTGAGCCAGCATGTTCAGTAAGCTTTAACCCCTACAGGATCAGGCTTGGCATTCTGCTGCTCCTCTGTGGGGTTAATAAAACCAAAATAGTTTTATACAAAGCTGGCTGGTCTGTCCAGGGAGCCAGATGCTGCATAAAAGCAACAGATTCCCTGGATAGTTCCTTATAAAACAGAGCTATCAGCGCAGTGATACACCAGTAACCCTAGCTATGTGTAAAGTGAGGCAAGAGGATTACAAATTAAGGTTAAGTTGGACTACATAGTAAGACCCTTACTTCAAAACAATAAAGTAAAAACATGTGAGGTTGAGATCCTTATGCTAGTAGGTTGGTCCACCAGATTAGTAAACCCTGTCTTGTCAGAGAGATAGGAGAAAATGGAAAAAGAGTGGGGAAGGGTTTTATTGCTAATAGAATCAACACCACCTTGGGTAAATCAAAGCAATTGTATATTTTTAGTTATCAACAGTGACGTCAATAAGTTGTGAAGGCTGAGCGTTTGATGATAGATTACATGATACTTATCCTTATTTTTTTTCTATTTTGCATCACAGTGCTTAAAAACATTACTCAGCTGAACATACTGAAATAATACATTTCTAGGCACTTGAACATGCCTCTGATTAGAGTGTATGTGTTATTTTAAAAGTAGAAATGCAAATAGGGCTTTAGGCTCAGAGAAACTCAAGGCTGCTTCTCATCCGTTCAAGAATGCTGGAGGACATACTTGTAATGCAACTTTGAGGTTCTCCAAGGGTCAATATGAGCTGAGTCCCTCCTGGCCCAGTCTGCATCAGGGGAAAAGAAAACAGATGAATGAATACATGAATAAGTACATGAATCAGTGAAATGAACAAATGAGTAACTTTTAAATTTATGTCCTAAAGTATATGTTTTTCTCCCATTCTTGCTCTTCAGTTACAGAATTCTGCTCCTTAGAGACAATTTGTCATTATCAATTTTTTAGGCATCCCTTATAAAGGTTCACCATGATAAGCTATTTGTTTAGGTATAGATACTGCTGTACAAAGAACAGTATGATTGCTTCCCTGTTCCCTGAGACCTGAGTTTGTGATTTGTATGCCTGCATGCTCTTCTCTGCCTAACGTGTACTTGCTTTCTAGATCATACTGTTCAAAAGCTCTTACAGTATAGCCTCTCTGTTCTTCCACCTGCACATAAGTTTATCTTATGCTAATGTAGAAAAGTTTGCTTATGCTTTTAGTATCGCAATTAGCATCTTGTATCATTTTTACAGAAGTACAAATCTTTACGTGATTGAAAAATTATTGAAGGCAACCTTCAACTATTACACAGTTCAGTATCCTTAGCTCTTAATCCAGGTACATTCCCTGTTTTTGTCTTGTGTGCTGAACCCCTCTAGATTGCCTTTTGTGTTTCCCTTCCCCCCCCCTTTCTTATAGTGCTAGGAATCTAACCTGGGGCCTTTTGCATGCTAAGTAAGCTTTCTACTACTCAGCATTTATTTCCAAAATCGCTCTACCCCTTTTAAGCATCTAATCTGGTTCTCTCTCCTCTCAAAGTTAAGGTGATTAAATAAATAGAAGAGAGCAAAGGTAGTGAACAATTGCTGTACAAGGCAAAGAAATGTATCGAAGCCAATTACAATAGAGTAAAAATGCCAGTAAATATCTTTTTAAGGAGCACTATAAAATTACATCCCTACTAATTCCATATGTGTATTTTCTTTCTGCAGGTGATTTTCTTCCACCTCCTCCTCCCCCTCTAGATGATCACATTGCCCTTCCATCTGGTTCTGGAAACTTCCCCCCTCCACCACCCCTGGATGAAAGTGCTTTTAAAGTACAGGTAAGATCTATGGTGGAAGTCATGCTTATAAGCCATGGTAGGAGGCTTATGAATTCAGTGATTGTTTCTGTGGTGGATAAGGATTTATCCAGAGCCTCTAGAGAGCTTTGTATCTTACATGGAACAAAGGCACTTAAATACAAAATGTCCAGCCGAAGCTTCTCAGAGTTCTGCTAGCTTATACTCGGAAGCCCTGGAAATCCTTTTACTTACTAATTTTGTTCCAAAACCCAAAGTAATTTTTTTTTGTGTGTGTGAGGAATGACATTTGAAAAGTCTGTGCTTTCACATTATTCTAAGGACACTCAGCTAGGCCTTTTATGGCCTTTCAAAAAGACTTACTTCAAGCATTTCATTCTAAACAAGTAAGGCTCTTTAAGACTTAGTGGGTCATTGTGGACACAAAAACTTTCTAGCAAAAGCAACTACAGATGTCTATAAGGTGATACACTATGGAAATATCCTGGAAATGCACTGATTATATATACAAATATTGTGTATCAGAGTGTGTTGATTGGAAAGTAATCAGGACTGGACTCAAAAGTGACATTAAAAACAGTTCTCAGATTCTGATCCTAAGAGAAGGATGACAAGCCATTGATATTTTGGCTGGAAGATGTGATTTATGTCAGGATAGAATACAAATGTAATCATAGAATTATCATTTTATTCTTACATGTGATAAGGTTAGGATCGATATATGGAAAAAATAGCATCCTTTCAAATGAGATATTTCCAATGGTATTTGCTTCAAAATAATAGTAGGAAGCTTCTAAATTAGACCATAAATGAGAAACGCTTAACTTACAAGTTGCTAACTTGTGTATAGCTTTTTTCCTGTTATTCAGTCTTCCTTTGCATGTGTTTAAAATTTCTCAAGAGAACTCTACAGGAGGAAAAGCCCCAGGAATTAACCGTTAAAATTGTTCAGTTATTGTTTTTGTTTCTTTCAATTATGAGTTAAGGAAGAAATTATTCAGTCTTTCCACAAACATACTCTATTCGTAATGTAGGCATTATTCACGTACTAGAAATTCTATGTCACAAAACACAAACACGCTTGGACAGAAACAAAATGAAACAAACACTGTGAAGGTCAGTATTGGAATGGAGTATGTGCTCAGGAAAAAGATTTCTAGAGTAGTTTTGACCAGTATGACCTCACTGGGAAGGTGACCTTTAAAAACAAGAACAACAAGGGATAAGCCTTATAAATTTCGTGGAGAGCTTATTTTCAGGTAGCCAATGTAAATAAGAAACTTTTAATAGTATTAAATACAAATTTGAGAGTATTAAAATGACTATGTTCTGTTTTTAATTAATAAGTTCTAACTCTGTTTTGACTCGGACTCTTTTAAACAGTAATAAAATTTTTGTGTCTCACATATGTATTGCAGCAATTTCTGGAATTTCTTTTCGTGTAAGCTAGGAAAGTCTAAGGTCAGATATCAGTAATGAGAAGAGTGATAAAAATGTTATTCTATGTAGAAAAACCCTGGGTAAAAAAAATATATATAGTACATATATATATATTTTTCTCCTTCCTTCCTTCCTTCCTTCCTTCCTTCCTTCCTTCCTTCCTTCCTTCCTTCCTTCCTTCCTTCCTACCTTTTTTCCTTCCTTCCTATTTTCTTTTTTCTTGCTCCGCTGGACTTTGAACTGAGAGCTTTGTGCTTGCTTGTCAAATGCTCTACTTTCTCATTGATGCTTTCTACCATAGGAGGGCTGACAGGTGTATACCACTAGACCCAGCACTTTGTTCAGATGGGTTCTCACAAACTTTTTTGCTAGGCTGGCCTGTTACTGTCATTTTCTTAACCTCTGTCTTTAGAGTAGCTAGGATTTCACACATGAGATACTGTCTCCAAGCTTTTTTTTTTATGTTTAAGTATCTGTATGAAGAGTTACCATTCAGCAAAGTAGTACATGAGTACAATAGCTTTCTATTTAGTTATTTTTTTTAAATAAATTGTATTTGGTGATATTGGTGATTGAACACAATACTTCACATTTGCTTGGCAGGCACTGTTCTGCTAAGCCATGATTCCAGCTCTTTTTTTTGTTTGTTTGTTTGTTGTTGTTGCATTCATTAGTTTTGAAATAGGATCTTGGTTCCACCTCCTTCCAGGAATGTATCTAGGCGACACCCACTATATTATAAACTTCCCATTGTATGTGAAATGATGTATAGGTCAGCACTCCCAGCTTCTTCTCTTGATATTGAGACTCAGGGCCTTTTCTGTCCAGGCTGACTTGGAACCATGATTCTCCTAATTTCTGCTTCCCAAATAGCTGGGATTACACACATATGACCATGCCCAGGTAAGAAGGAGTCTGACATGCTTGCCTGGCTTGTCCTTGAACTGCCATGCTGCCAATCTCAGCCATTCCATAGTAGGTAGAATTAGAGGTGTTAGACATTGCCTCTGGGCTAACAAAATGTTGAAACACTTGGAATTTTCCTTTTATATACTTTCATGACATTTTCTTGGGGAGTGCTTCTGTACAAATTGCTTAATATGTGTACTTTAAAAGTTCACATGTTCTAATTACTTTCTTGGATTGCTAGGATATCTGTTGCATTTTAAATCTGTCCCTTCCCCCAAATTGGTGTTATAACAGACATTATTAAAAGAAATCGGAAGATGACGGAGATCAATAATAGTACTATGATTTTTTGCCAATAGATTTTTATTAAAAAATTATCTAATCCATGAATCCTTTCGGCTTTCAATTTATTTGTGTTCTCTTTACTTTTTTTTTTGGTCATGGGTCTTGAACTCTGGGCCTGAGCACTGTCCCTCAGCTCTTCAGCTCAAGACTAGTGCTTTATCACTTGAGCCACAGTACCACTTCTGGTTTTCTGGTGGTTTATTGGAGATAAGAGTTTACAGCCTTTCCTGCCCAGGCTTTGAACTGTGTTCCTCAGATTGCAGCCTCCTGAGTAGCTAGGATTACAGGTGTGAGCCACTGTGCCCCACTCTCTTTCCTCTCTTTTTTAAAAATCAGTATAATATAACTTTCATTGTGAAGAATCTGCTTTATCGAAAATTATTTTTTGGTGTTTTATTTTCTGAAGCTTTTGGGAATAGAATGTCTTTATTTTCCCAGTAGTTTGCTTTTTATCATATAGAAAAACAGCTGTCTTTATAGCTCGTTTTTATATAGTATGCCTTTCCTCAATTTGTTCATTAGTTCAATAAATTTAGAGAGAGTCTTTGGGCATGCACACACACACACACACACACACACACTGTATTGTGTACAGACAAGGATGATCTGATTTCCTTCCTTTTCAGTTTGAATGCCTTTTAATTCTTTGTGTTATTAAACTGCCCTGGTAGGACTCCCAGTACTATGCTTAGAACCATGGTGACAGTGGCCAACCTTGTGAGGCTTTCATAAAATTATAAAAATGTCCTTTAAATGTGGACTTTGTTCCAATAAATGTACTCAAGCCATGACTTTGTTTTTGAAGAGGAAGGAAATAAACAAAATGATGCCCATTGCCATTTTGGATGATGTCCCCTAAAAAAAAACAGAAGGGAAGAAGATACAGAAATTAAGTAGGGTTTGCCAAATGGAAAAGGACAAATCTGGTAGGGAGAGTGCATTAGTTTTGAGACTCTTCCCATGAGATATTGTTGGAAAGTGGGTAAAAAAAAAAAGAGGGCACGCCCTTGTTTGTATAATAGTGACCCAGATTTGGCAGGGATGGGCACTTGTTTGGTCCTGTGCTACCTTCGATATGAGCTATACTAGATCCTAAAGTCATCTGATCACTGAAGAAAAGCTTGCATTTTTTTCCTCTGCTCCGGTGAAACCTCATGTCGCCAAGTTCAAATTATAGCTGGTAATTGTGTGTTTTTATGTAGAAAGTCTGTTTATGTTTCTAGCCAGATTTTGAGATCAGAGCCAAAGGAATGTCTACAAAGTGTGACTATAAGAATTAGAATATCTTCTGGGCTGAAATTCATTATGAAGATCTCATGGTATAGTCCCTGGCTACCACACAACTAGATCAGCCTTTTCAAGTACTTGCTGAATAAATTAATTCCTGCTCCTCCCTCCATGGAAATGGGAAACCTGAGGCCAAAGAGGGTGTAGTTTCTCACAGATCTCTCACTAAAGTGGGGAAATCTTGACTCTTGGCCTTGATCTTCTTCCCAGTGTACCAGATGGCACATGTACATACTTTTGCTTTAGTCTTGTATCAAGCTGTTGTATCAAGCTGAGGGTTCTGAGATCAGAGTAGGAAATTAGGTGATTTTATCTGGGAGAACCAGCTGCTGTTCTTGTTTTTGCTTGATTCTACATTTTTGATACATGCTGTAATTTTTTTGCAAAAGGAAAATAAATATTTAGTATGAATAATTCTTCTTTTGATAATTCCCATTTTTATGGGTAAAGATGAATCTTAGGGGGAAAAAATGAAGGTTTTTGTTTGCTCCTCTGTCAGAATCCATTTGACTTTATGCTAGTGGATTTGGGTAACCTTACAGTTACTTTATTGATACATTTGTTGTGCATTCATTCATTATAAATGGATTATCTTCAGTACTAGGGATTATTGGGACTATCAATCATGCTTTGATTTGATGCAACAGTTGGAAATTTCTAGTTTTAGTCAGCCGATGGAAATATATTTAACACTGGTTACAGTAGTTTCAAAAGGACAGAATGTCAAGGAAATTAGAGATTATACATTTATGTCCCTTTCAAATAATTATATTTATAGTATGCTTATAATATATATCATACAAACATAAAATATTCAAATACTTATTTTACACTTACAATATGCAAATTCTTGTGAGTTGTTTGGTAGGGTGCTGTGAGATTCTTAGGGACTTACCTGCTGACACCTGTTAGGTTTGAGTTAAGACATTTACTATTTAACTTTGGCTCTTTTAGTTCCTTCCTTCCTTCTTCCTTCCTTCTTTGTTTTTTCTTTCTTTCTTTTTAAATGCACTTTAGCCACAGCAACATGCACCACTTCC